TATGATACCCTACACCACTTTGCTAATTTAGTTGAGCTCCACTTAATAATTAAAAGTTTTTGGGAGAATTAAAAGAATGGGAGAATTCAATCATACACGCTATGATTATAATTATAATTTAAAATTCAAAGGACTAAATATGCCGAAGCATTTGTATCTTTTAAATTCGGACTTGTACTGCCCATGTGGTGCGAAATTAATTTGAAATCGAATAAAAATATATATGGGAACTATATCCAAATCTGAACCGATCTCGATAAAATTTAGCAAAGATATTTCTGAGCTGTATTTGATATATTTCCCTGAATAACGTTGTTACGGAGTGCATATTACGGCTGTGGGTAACAAATACAATAAATCGGATGAACAATATATATGGGAGCTATAACTATATCTGAACCGATCTTCACCAAATTTGGCATACTACCTTCTAGACTAAATTCGGTCGTATGTGCCAAATTCCATTCCATTTGGACAAATATTAGACGTTTGGTGCAAAATAAATGGTAAATCGGACGAACTTATATATGGGAGCTATATCCAAATCTGAACCGATCTCGATAAAATTTAGCAAAGGTATTTTTGAGCTGCATTTGATATATTTCCCCAAATATTGTTGTTACAGAGTGCATATTACGTATGCGGAGGACAAAAATAACAAATCGAATGAAAAATATATATGGGAGTTATAGCTATATCTGAACCGATTTCGATAAAATTTGGCATACTTATTTTCAGGCCTAATTTGGTTGTATGTGCAAAATTCCATACTATTCGGGCTGATATTACACGTTTGGTGCACAATAAAAGGCAAATCGGACAAAGATATATATGGGAGCTATATCTAAATTTTTACCGATTATCTCCAATTTCAATAGGGTTCGTCCTTGAGCCAAACAAATGTTGTTTGCAAAATTTAATCTCAATCGGAATTCTCAAATCTATCCTCAAATAATAAATTTAGTAGTTTTTGTACCTTTTTAGTACATATTTCCAAATTCACCTCCATATACCAACCCTACGGTACAAAAAATGATTCCTCCCTAACTACCAAGTTTAGTATCATTTAGTACTTTTCGTACTATTTCTAAAATTACTTCCACATCTTGTAAAAATACTTCCAATCTTTCAACCCATCTTACCAGTAGTGAATCCGATATCAGCATACTAGCAAGTGCCCCCTACTTCGTCAGCGAAAAGTCCATAATACAATTTTAGATTCGTTCCTCCTGTTCATATTAATACTCAAAAGTGACCTCAATACCTTCACCCAATACCAAATTTTCCAAAACCCCCTCCACATCTCATTTCCAGGCAGTAAAAGAGATCTCAATATCAAATTTGAGGATTCCATCCCTTCTCCCAATACCAAGTTTAGCACAATTTAGTAATTTTTGTATAAAAGTAGAACGCCGCCAAATCTCAAATACAGACCAACATTAAAATCTATAACAAATTTCAGGATTTCAGCTCTATTCCTTCACCCAATACCAAATGTAGTACTGTTTGGTACATTTCGGACAATTATGGAACATATTTCCAAAACCACCTCCATATCTCAAATCCAGATAGCAACAGCTATTTTTGAGGATTTCATCCTTACCCCTTCACTCAATACCATATTCCAAAAAATACAATACCAAAATACCAAACCAAAAAGTACAATTTAGTACTTTTTGTACAAATATAGGACGTATTTTCAATACCGCCGCTAAATGTCAAACGCAGGCCAAGAGTAACATCCATATCAGATTTCAGGATTCCTTCCCTATCCCGTCACCCAATATCAAATTAAGTCCAATTTAGTACATTTCGTTCAATTATGGTACATATTTACCAAATCCACCTCCATATCTCAATTCCAGATAGCAGCAGATATCTCAATATCAAATTTGAGGACTTTCACCCACCAATGCAATGGATTCAATTTTTAGGACCCTTTACCATACTAAAATGTTCTAATTTCGCTCAGCCACATGGCTAAAGAGGGTATATGTCATTATATATGGCCATTTTCCGATTCAGGATATTTTATTTCGACCTATGGGTGTCCGTTCTCCTGTCTGGCTGGAGGGCACGAAAACAGTCGATGGCAGTATCCGATTAAGTCCAAATTTGGCACATCATAATAATATTATTAAACTTAGATCGAGTTCGGAGATGGGCAATATAGGAGAGGGACAATACCCTTCTGGCACATCCCCCGAAAAAGGTCAAAATCTCCACAGAAAATAATTTAATAATATAAAAATAATTTTGTGCGAACTTTGCAAATCCTAATATTTTGTTCGGTACTAGGTCGGGTGCGAAAATGGACAATATGGGTCCACTCCATCAAATACCCCACCAAAGAGAGAGAGAGAGAGAGAGTCAACATTTGGAATAATTATAATTCTTATAAAATGGGAAATCGGTGTCCGATTGTCTTCAGATTTATATTAACATAATAATTAATTAATAATGTTAATAAAAAACACAAGATCTGGCGTGAAGGCAGATATACCGGTCCACTCCTTCTGGCACCTCCCCCACAAAGGGTCGTCAAAATGTTAAATATCGATGAAGCTCATAAAACCCGAAATTACCATCCGATTCCATTCAGACTTGGTACATCTCAATATTTCCATCAACACAAGATCTGTTATAAAAATGGTGGAATTCGGACCATTTCTTCTGGTACTTCCCCCATAAAGGGTCAAAGTTTTGAAAAACCAAAACGATCATGAAATCCGAAATAACCATCCGGTTATCTTCAAATTACTTTTACAATCACTAGCCCAAGGTCTGCTTGAGGTGATCGACACTTTGGTATTTTTTAGTGCCAACCTTGCTTTCCAAAATACTTCAGACACAATAGTCCAACGGATTGGTATCCAGAGATTTTGGTGGCCATTATGCGCTGAAAATGAAGCGAAGAACCTCAATTTGTAAACATTCTTGGATGGCGCGTGCTGAGTGCGATGGTGCTGAGTCCTGTTGGAATGTCCAAGGTCTGCGACCAAAATGTTTGCGTGTCCAATGCTTTAATACACCCTCCAGAATATTTTCGCGATAATATTCGATACTTATTCTGATGCCACGGTCGATTAATACGAGCGGAGAGCGACCATCGGCTGTTATGTAAACCCGATCATTTTGTTTGTTTACAAACTGATGGACAACGAATATTTTCTGATCGGAGAAAACCAAATTCGGCAGTTCAGCACTTTCGGCCAAGCGAAGCAACTCCTTAGCTCTTTTGAGTCTTTTCTTTCTGTTGCGGTGTAAGTTCCTGCACTTTTTGGAATTTCAACGGCTTAACCCCGAACTCGTTGGTAAATATTTGCCGAATGGAATATTGCGATATGTTCAGCTCACGAGCGATTTTCGGCCAATGTGACGCTGGCTATGACTACAGATGGTATATATCACTTTATATGGCCATTTTCCGATTCAGGACATTTGGACTCGAATGGCCATCTGCCTCTCTGGTGCTCACTGTAACTCTTTAAGGGAGTATCCAATTTGGTACATCGTAATATTATTGCCAAATTTAAATCGAGTTCGGTGATGGGCGGTATCGGTCCATTCCATCTAGTACATCCCCACAAAAAAATCAAAATTTTCACAGAAAGTTATCAACCTCTTAGAACAAGAAAGGATCGCCAGGTCAGGTGCGAAAGTGATTTATATCGGCCCACTCTCTATAATACCTCCTACAAAAAGGGCCAAGATTCGGAATAATTACAATTCTTATAAAATGTAAAATAAGAATTCTATTTAAATTTCGGACATCTTAATATTTCTACCCACGCAAGATTTGGTATGAGGAACGGATAGAACAGACCACTCCATCTGTTACCTCTTCCACAACGGGGGAAATGAGCATCCGATTCCTTTCAAACTTGGCACATATCAACATATCTGTTAACATAAGACCTGGTATGCAGATGGAACATTTCGGATCACACCTACTGGTTCCTCCTCCACAACGGGTCAAATTTTTGAATAACTATATCTCCCATAAAATGCGAAATAAGCAATAGATTCTCTTCAAATTTCATATATCCCATTATTTTTAAGTACCGATGTTAAAATGAGAGATATCGGATTAACCATTCTGGTGTCTATCCCACAATTGTTCACGGTTTGTAATACTTATATCTCTCATAATATGCGAAACAAGTCGGCAATTCTTTTCAAACTTTGTATATTAACATATTTTTCTCAATCAAGGGTTTGATGTGAATATGGAACTAATCGGCTCACTCCCGCTTTACTCAAATGTATTGAAAATGGGTCATGTAGGTCGATGGTTTGATATAGCCCCCATATAACGGTACTTCCCTATTTTTGGCATTTTGGTGATTTAAGCGACAATATTTACCAGAATTGTTTAAAATTTGTATTTGAATTTCTTCAGCCTAACACGGAAAATTGTCTGTGCAGGCCCACGTCTTCGTACAGCCCCCTTTTAACGATACCTCCAGATATTTGGTATTTTGATGATTTTAGCGACATTATTCGCCGGAATTGTTTCTATTTTGGTATTTGAAGGTTGCAAGGGGTACTACAGTCTATGACAAAAAAATCGTATGCAGGTCCACATATAGCCCCCATATAACAGTAGCTCCCGATACTCGATACTTTGATGATTTTAGCGACATTATTCACCGGATTTGTTTCAAAATTGGTATTTGAAGTTCCTAATGGATACTACAGCCTATGACAGAAAATTGACTGAACAGCTCCACGTCTTCGTATAGCCCCCATATAACGGTGTCTCCCAATATTCCGTATTTTGATGATTTTAGCTATATTATTCACCGGAAGTTTCGTATTTGAATATTGTAAGTGCCTATGGCAAATGTTAACTATGCAGGTCTTTGTTTGTACCCCATTTTTGTATGAACCCCAATACAGTGACTATATTCGGAATTTTAAGGATTTTAACAGAATTTTTAACGGATTTTTTTTAATGAAAATTGCCAAATTCGTTGCTAATGGATACCCTCCAAAGTTCGGTACGGTCGAACTTACAGCTTTTTTACTTGTCAGTTTTTAAATAGCACAAATATGTCTTTATTTATTTCCAAATTCCATGCCTTTATTTATTATCAAAATTCCAAAAGATCACCTGTTATCCTTGAACATTTTTTACCATACACAATTCAAATTCATAGATCTCTTCACACGGATCCTTGTGCTGGATGGCCAAGCATTTCTTTAGGGCCGGTTGAACTTTAGCCTTATTCTCTTCGAAACGGGATTCCATGAAAAGTGCGAAGTCATCGTGCTTGGGATGATCCTTAAAGTCAATTAGATTGATTTTTCGATAGAAACACAAAAGGTAACATTTCATATCATGGGAAAAATTATCCATAAGTTTTGTATTGATGGGTAGAAAATGTACGGCTTCTTGGAGGTTGACCTTTGTGAGGTTGGCACACTGGACTATGGCGTGTTGTATGACGAACTCGGCCTCTTCATCGGTTAGGGCCTAAAAGTATGAAAATTTAATTCAATGAATTGTAGAGAATTTTTAAATTTCTAATTTACCTCAGATATGTGGAGGTGGCCCACAAATACAACCATTACCAAAATTCCAGTTAGAAAATTTGCAGACTTCATTGTTGCAAGTTGTGAGAAATAATCATAGCTTTGGTGTTTGCTTTCGAACTTAAATACGAAAATTATAGGGTTGGGTGTGTTGTGGTTGGGTGATCACTTTGATAACCTATAAAATTTAACAAAAATTGAAAATAAATTACAAAAATTAACCTTATTCTTGCAACTCATTGCCGAGGCATGCCTTAAATTAATATAATTAAATCTAGGTGGACAAATTGTTTTTTTCCACCATTTCGTGGAACTGATGTGTGTGGTTTTCAATATAAAATGTCATGTTGGTCAGCCATTAGTGTCAAAAGTGACATACAACAAACTACGCTGTCATCATCAATTCAGCTGTTAATCTTTGCAACGAAAAATGTCGGCAAAAACAACATTTTCCAACACCAAATTGTTGCTAATAATTGGCATGGTTGTGGTTATTATAAATTGTTGGAAAATTAAACCCGTAGGTGTCCAACCTTTCAACATTTATTCCTAAATATAAGCATTTTTATTTATTTCCCCTTCTCCCCATAGATCGATGCCCAGGACCCCGAAGAACGTGTGAAAGCCATCCGCAAAAAATGCATCGCTGCCAATAAACTCACCGATGACCAAGTCAAATTGATTATGGATCATGATTTGTTCACCCCCACCACCACGGCTGCCAATACCCCGAAAAATCTGCAATGCTATTGCCTCTGTTATTTGCATGAAGCGAACATATTTCAAAACAACAAACCCAATGAGAAATTTTTACGTGAAGTCCTACCCGTCATGATCAACGACAAGACCAAGGCCGAGAAAATTTTGGAAAAATGCAAGAAATTGGAGGGCAAGGATGATTGTGAAATTGGTTTCAATTATGAACTATGCCTGATTAAGGAAAGTGGGTTGTATATGTATTAGATGGGATGAATTGATATCCGAGAGAACTATAGTAAAAATTGAATATTCTCAATAAAAATCTAGCAATTCGAAAGTACTATATTGTACTATAGTACTATATAGTTCTGTTTTGGACAAATATTATCAATATCGTATCGGACCTAAATAAATATGATATGAACTTTGCTACGTGTCAGGATTGGACTATATTGGTTACATTCTTCACTTTATATGAGATATGTGATAATTTTTAGAGAATATAGAAATGTTCGTTAGGTACCAGATATTGTTGACTGAAGTATTACATTTTCATAAAAATTGCGACCGGTTGTGGGTGAGGCACCAGAAAAGGTTCGCAGTTATATAATCTTCATAACAGATCTTGTGTTAGCAAAAATGTCTGTGTGTGTAAAATTTAAAGAGAGTTGTATGCTTATTTCGCTTTATTTGAGCCTATCGTTTTTTTTCAAACCCTTGAACCCCTTGTGATCCGAAATCCACCATCTTTATAACAGATATTGTGTTGATTTTAATATTGAGATTTACCTGGCCTGAATGGAATCGAATGTTAATATCGCTTTTTTAAGCTTCATGGGAGTTCAAAATGTTTACCCTTGGTTGAGGTGGTACCGGAAGGAGTAGACCGATACATCCCATCTTTACACCAGATCTTGTATTAGTTGAAATAATGAGATGTGTGAAATATGAAAAGATGCTTATTTCGGATATTATAATCGTTTTGGTTACTCAAAACATTGACCCTTTGTGGGGGAGATACTAGAATAAATGGTAAGATCTCTACCATCTTTATATCAAATGTTGTGTTGATGGAAGCATTGAGATGTGCCAAGTCTGAATGGAATCGGATGTTAATTTCGCGTTTTATGAGCCTCATGGTTATTCAAAATTTTGACCCTATGTGTGAGAGGTACCAGAAGGAGTGCACCGACATATTTGATCTTCACCCCAGACTGTGGGTTAATGGTTAATGTTTTGAAAATTTCGTCCTTTTGTGGGTGAGTCACCGAAAGGAGTGGACCGAAATTGCGCATCTTTGAAATCGATTTAAGTTTGATAATAATATTACGATGTACCAAAGTTGGACTAAATTGGATACTCATTTCGTGAGTTATCGTGCTGGTGCGCAGACAGCCAGACAGACAAACGGACAGACTGAATTGAGGTTTTCCATTTAGGCACCTGACCTCTTTTCTTATGAAAATATAAGATGTGAAAATTTGGACTTAGTCGTGGAATTTGTTCGTCTTATAGAAGATTCGAAATTTCTACAAAAGGACAATTGTGGGGTAGATAACTGAATAAGTAAACTGATATATCGTATCTCCATAATAGCTCTCATATTGGAAGAAACATTGAGATGTAAGAAGAGGGATTCTTTGTGCCATATCGGATATGTCGTTCGATTTTTTCATGATCATTAATTAAACGCAACAACGGCTGGACATGTCTATATCGACTGCAAATGTCCTGTAACGAATTTCCTAACAAATGAAAACACCTTAATTCGGAGAACTGATTTTTTTACTGTTTCAAATGATTCATACTCCCAGCAGGCATTAGGCTGATGAAATAATTAGTAGAGGGAAAACCAATTGACCCTACCTCCGTCGGATAATTTCGTTAGTTAACAGCTAAAAATAAGGGTTAAATCAATTTAAAATTTAATCCTAAAAGTATGCACTATGTTTAGGACTTTAAAGTTCTAATATTTACAGTGTCATTCCTCATTATTATGTGAGAAAGTGATTAGGAATTTTAAACAATTATGAATTTTAGAATTTAGAATTCTCAAAGTGAATTCTGAGAATTCTCAAAGTTGAAAGTGACCCCGTTGATGCCTTACTTGAGGGTAAAACTTTTTTACCAAAATATTACTCGTATTGTTATCAGTAATATTGTCAAATATATATACATATATACCTATAATACAAGAATGTTAAGGAATCTTAATACGAAAATTTCAAAAATATTTAGAAGAAGGGGAGCTTACCTTCTCTGCGATATAAATTTTGTCGTTTCTTCTATAGTGTGATTTTTTAAAAGCTATATGAAAGTTCTTCAAAAAAAAAAAAAAAAATTAATTAATAAATAAATAAAATAAAAAAATAACAGATAATAATAATAATAATAATAATAATAATAATAATAATAAAAATAATAATAATAATAATAATAATAATAATAATAATAATAATAATAATAATAATAATAATAATAATAATAATAATAATAATAACAATAATAATAATAATAATAATAATAACAATAATAATAATAATAATAATAATAATAATATAATAATAATAATAATAATAATAATAATAATAATAATAATAATAATAATAATAATAATAATATAATAATAATAATAATAATAATAATATAATAATAATAATAATAATAATAATAATATAATAATAATAATAATAATAATAATAATAATAATAATATAATAATAATAATAATAATAATAATAATAATAATATAATAATAATAATAATAATAATAATAATAATAATAATAATAATAATAATAATAATAATAATAATAATAATAATATAATAATAATAATAATAATAATAATAATAATAATAATAATAATATAATAATAATAATAATAATAATAATAATAATAATAATAATAATAATAATATAATAATAATAATAATAATAATAATAATAATAATAATAATAATAATAATAATAATAATAATAATAATAATAATAATAATAATAATAATAATAATAATAATAATAATAATAATAATAATAATAATAATAATAATAATAATAATAATAATAATACTAATAATAATAATAATAATAATAATAATAATAATAATAATATAATAATAATAATAATAATAATAATAATAATAATAATAATAATAATAATAATAATAATAATAATAATATAATAATAATAATAATAATAATAATAATAATAATAATAATAATAATAATAATAATAATAATAATAATATAATAATAATAATAATAATAATAATATAATAATAATATAATAATAATAATATAATAATAATAATAATAATAATAATAATAATAATAATAATAATAATAATAATAATAATAATGGAAGCGGTCTCTTCGGTTAAGACATGAGCTATAACATAGCCCCACAAATAATACTTTAAAATCGATACATCGTACGATATGGACCAAATTGTGACTGTGAATGCATTGGTAGCTTTTACATTGAGCCAAAAATGAGTCTCGTTGCTAAAGAAAATTTTTCCATAAAAAAGTGTATCATCGGCTTACTTTCCAAGAGCCCATTCACCAAAAATTCTGCTTTGCAGTAGGCGGTTGACTTCAATTCGTGCACCTGTTGTATTTCGAAAAGAATCACACCTAAATTCTTCCGCAAAATCGTCCACGTTCTTGAGTAATAAAGGCCCAATTATCGACAAATCGATAATTGATGATCATCATTCACACTGGCCGACACACGCTCTACGTAAGCGTGTTGGTGGTTCAATTAGACAGAAATTTTGTCACAACAGCCCGAACAGTGAATCGATTAAACTCTCCATAAAATAAAAGAAGCGCTATAAACTTTCTTAACTGTGTTGCCAAAAATTACACCTTTTTTCTGTTAAAATTAAAAAAATATATATGCACTGGATGTCTCCTACAATTATTGAAAGAATTGATTTCTTAGATTTAAAACTAAATTTATTTGCCAAAATAAATTAACTACCAAATTATATTTCTTCTTTATCGATTATTAACATCAGCCTCCCTGATGGAGAATATTATCTATCAACAATCGTAAAAGCACTTCAATAATCCAAAAACTATATATTTTAATGTCTCAATAAAAACTATATTGAAGAAAAAATAAAGATATATAACTTGGAACGGAAAAAAACGTATGTATGTAGTAAATTGATATCATGCTGTCAGAATTGATGACTTCATTGTTGACGTTAAGATGTCGTTCGTTACTGTTCTTGTCAATTGGATGGTATTGATGTATGTATGACGTGCACTTTTTTTGTTCCAGGTCTTTTCGTCGATGCTGGCTCTCCGTCTGCTACCACTTATGTGCATATTTTATGAGATGTTCGATCTTAATCTTGTCGCGTCTCTGTCGTAATTTACAATGTTTACTTGTTAACAAGACTAACAGCATAAAGTGCCAACTACAACAACAGCCAGCTAGGAGACACAGAAAAAAAACAACAAGCAATGCCAAGCAATTGCAGCAACGAACGTTCATGTTGTCGTTGTTCTTGTCATTTGTTCGTTTGTTGCTGTTCGTACCATTTACTGTCGATAGTGTCATTAAACCGACCAAATGACCGGTAGTAGTCATCGTCGACATTGTAAATTGATTGTAAAATGCAATGAAGTGCTTGTTGTTGTTGCTGTTACTGCTGCTGCTGCTGCTGTGTGTGTACAGTACTTTGAAGTAGTAGGTTCTTGTAGTTGTTAAATTGTGAAAAAAAATCCATTGCATAGTTTATGGCGCTGTGTTCAATAACGACTACTGCAAGAAAATAAATATTAAAAAGAAGTCATCATCACGTTTATTGATGGCGATGGCAACGGGAAAACCACCATTAAAGTCAAAAATGAAAGAACAATTCTGCTGCATTGCATTGCGGAAGTGTTGAATGATTGCGAAATTGCCAAAAGAAAATTTTTTCGAATAAAATGAGATTTAATTTTATTTGGATCTAGTTTATATTTGCCCATCTATGATCTGCAATTCAACCCATGTAATTCTCTTATCTGATATTGAGGTGTATAAAACGTGGACAAGTTTAAAAATAATGTCCTAAGCTTTAAATAACCATTTCACTTTGTCCTCTCCGAGCATTTAAAATAAAAAGAAAAAACTTAACTTAAATCCCATATATTTGTAAGACCCTCATCAATTGCTTATCTATTTTTGAGTCCATTAAACGGCAACAACAGCAAAAACAAAAAGGCCTCAACCAACTATCAACGTACATTGGTAAGTTATTGTTGTTGTTGTTCCACACGATGTGTTTTTCTTTTATACATTCCATGGTTTAAACGAAACATTGTTTGTCGTATTCCCTTTTTTTGAAAATACCAAAAAAAAAAAAAAAAATGTCACACAGTTTAGTAGACCTATAAATTTTTAATAAAGTCAAATGTTTTTTTTTTGCTCTTCTCGATGCCAGCCAAAGGGTATCCATTTTATTAAGGTTGAATTTTACCCCCCAAAAAAACACCCACACATACGTATATACAAATTTCATAATGGCCGAGGAAGGAAAATGTTCACAAAAATTGCCATTCGATTTTGAATGTATGTCGGAGTGTTTTTTCTTCTTAGGCGAACATATCGAAAAGCAATAACAAATGAAATGGACGATCCAAAGAAATTTATAGAAATGGGACAATATACAACAACACGAAGATAAGCAGACGTGCGGAACTAATTCCGGATGTAATGGCGAAATAGAGCCAAAGTGACAAAATGAAATGGGGATATCTATACGGACAGGGCAATTTTGAAGGAATTGCCATTTAATTTAGCAAAGGAGGAACAAAAAAAAAAACGAATATTTGTTCTGAAGCCGAATTTAATTCGAAATATTGGTCAACATGAAGAATATTTTATTTGGATACATAATTGCTTAAAATTAATAACAAAATTGAAAAAAGGGGTAAATTTGAAATATATTTGCCCTATATAACAATAGGAGCTTAAATACTGTCCCTTTGATCGAAAAATGCCGCAGAAACCGAACTAAGCCGAATGGAGGACAGCAGGATTGGTGGAAATTTAAAATGAATTTTTTAAGATTTTTGGACTAAGGAGACAATATTATTTTGGGGGAAGTACTAGAAGGAATGGCCTAATAATGCCAATGTCCGATATAAATATTATAATATGCCAATTTCGGACTATATCGAGTAATTTGCTTTGTTTATACGAGACTAGAAAGTTTGCGGAATGAGGATTTTGAGATTTTTTAATTAAAAAAATTAAAAAAAAAAAAAACAGGTAAGTTCGGCTTTCTAATATGTTGAGGGAAATTGAAAAATTTCGAAAAAATCCGTCAAAAAATCCCACTCAAAGGAAAACCTTTATACGGGGGCTATTCGATGATGTGGTTCTGCAAAAGTAATTTTTTGTCATAGGCTATAGTACCGATCCCGAGTTTTAAATACGCCATTTGAAACAATTCCATTGAATAATGTCGCTAATATAAACAAATTTGAAACAATTCCGATGAATAATGCCGAATAAATGGATGTTCCGTTATATGTGGACTATACGAAAATATGGACCTGTATAGACAATTTTCCGTCATAGGTTGTAGTACTCAACTCAGAAGGAACTCCTGGAGTGGTTTTTCGGACAATTCAATTGAAAAATGTGTGTACAATCTAAAAAATACCGAGTACAGGGAGTTGCCCTGACCTATAGAAACCCATATAGAAATTCTCTTCCAGGGAGAAAAGTACTCAGAAGGAATTTCTTCTGTGGAATTTCAGACAATTCTTTTGAAAAATGTGGCTACAATCATCAAAATACCGAATATTGGGAGGTACCGTTATATGGGGGATAAACGATACTTATATACACCCACATAGGATATTCTCTTTCAGGTGGTAAAGCACTCAGAAGGTACTCCTTGTGTGGATTTTGAGACAAGTTCATTGAAAAATGTGGATGATATCATAAAAATATCAATATCGGGAGGTACCCTTTTATGGGATATTAATGGGACGATATCGTGGACCTATATATCCAATTCTTTTTCAGGTGGTAAAGTACTCACAATGAACTCATTGTATAGGATTTCAGACAATTTCATTGAAAAATGTGGCTAAAGTCATCCAAATACCGAATATCGGTGGGTGCCGTTATATGGGGGCTTTACGATATCGTGGACCGATATAGCCCTTTTTCGAATTTGACCTGCCTGTAGACAAAAGACTGATCTGTGTGAAATTTTAACTTCCTATCTTAATACATTTTGACTCTAGCGCGATTACAACAGACGGCAGGTTATAAAAAATAGTAAAATAACTGACTGATCTAGAATTGGCGCCTAGACATAAAAGATGAAGGTAGAATCTTGAAATTTTGCACAAAGGACAACCTTGGTGGTTTTGCACAAGGGACAACCTTGGTCAAAATTAGTACTAAAAGGTTACGAAAAGTACTAAAATATACTAACAAATGAATACTTGGTATTGGGCAAACGGAATGAACTAGAATTCTCAAATTTGGAATGAGAGTCACTGGTGGAGTGCAGATAAACAGATTTATCAACGTTTTTTTTTTTTTTTTTTTGGAAATTAGATTTTTAGGTTACGAAGAGTTATAAAATGATACTAAACTTCTAAAATGGTACCACGTGGTATTATGTGAACGGATAGAGCAAAAAACTTGAAATATGCTGTGATATATGAAAGTGGTTTTGAATATTTATACTATCTGTACTAAATGGCACTATATTTGAAACAGTTTGTTTTGGACCCTTCTTAACATTATTGGTTGTCATTTTTCTAAAGCTGAAGCATTTTCCAAGTGCCCAATCGCAATGATATGTCTTTTTGTACTTGTCATACCCTGAAGTACGATTTCCAAAAATCTTCTCTTTTAGAAATTTTTGATGTACTATTTAAGTACGAATATCTCTACCTTCAAAGTACAAATATAAAAAATTCCTTTATTTCGTTCAATTTCTAATGCGCAATAAAAATGTTGCACCCTTCAATACTTTTCGTCCCCTTTATGTACAAATGACCAAAAATTACGCTTTATCTCTCCCTATCCCTATGTCAACTTTTATGATTTCAGCTCAATTTCGTCTCATTTAATGATATTTGTTCCTTTTTAGTACCCAAAGATTTATATTTCAAAATTGTAACTCTAAAAAATATATATATTTAGTACCTCTTAGTACTAAATTTCAAAAGTGTCACTTTACATTATGTTTTGGCACGTTTTTAGAGCCAAAAATACTATTTTTAAGATTTTTAAAATTTTTTTACGATTTTTATACCCTACAACACTATGTGTTGGGGGTATTATAAGTTTGATTGGGCCAGAATTTATGTAACACCTCGAAATATTGGTTTCCCACATAGGAAATTATATATGGATCTTCATAGCTCGCCGAGCTGAGTCGATCTAGCTATGTATGTCCGTCCGTCCGTCTGTCCGTCTGTCCATGTTAATTTGTAATCAAGCTAAAGGTCGCAATTATGAACCGATCCTCACGAAATTGAAAATGGAGGTGGGGTTAGGGTCAGAATAGAAGCCTATTTATTTTGGAGATGATCGCCATATGTTTAGGTGTTGAAATGGACCAAATACTGAAAAAATGTCGGATTTTGCAGTAGCTATACAGGTCGCAATTATAGACCAATCCACGCGGAATTTCGCATGTAGCTAGAGTTTAGGGCGGGGAAGAAGCCTACCAATTTGGGTGGTCATCGGATAATATTTACGGTAAAATAGACCATATCTTTTTTGGTGAAAAAATTCAAAATTTTTCATTAAACCGCGAATATTTTATATCCCGGCGAAATCAAAAAGCCATGACAAGGTTACTCCTGATCTTTACATTGATGTTAAGATCGAACAAATCGGATATATAGCAAAATATGTGCGATATATATGTCTATCAAAGAAGATATGCTTGAAAGATCTCATATATGTCGAGAACGGCTGAACTGATTTCGACAGTTCTCATTAATTCAGAATGGCCTCGCATAAAAATATCTCTCTAAATATGAAAATATTGATTTTGTAACATTTTCTCATATTTTTTGAATTTTGTCATATTTTTGGCATCTCTTCATTTTGAATTAAACATTTGGTAATATTTCTACAGCTAACAAAACTAAGTAGTTAGGATATCAGGATATCATATAGAGATCGCATTTATGGCCCGATCCTTACGAAATTTCGCATGGGGATAAGATGAGGGTCAGAATAGAAGTCTACTCTGATCGCCATACATTTAGGTGTTAAAATGGACCAAAAAACTGCAAAATTGTCAGGAGGTCGTAATTATCGCCCGGTCCTCACGCACATTTGAATGGGGGTTACCGCACATTGCAAAAGCCAAGCAGTTTCGGATGGCCATCCAAAAATATTCAATGTGTGAAATAGTTTGCCAACTTTTGTAGACAAAATACGAAAATGTCCATTCCAGTGACTCTGGAGAATTCACAAATACAGGAAAGACGCACTTCTGACTATTTCGTTAACGCTGATTTCGTGGAAGAATATAGTCAAATGTCTGTATTTCATATAGATGCGTTTCAGTCAAAAACTAATAATAAATGTTAATATTTTGCCACTTCTGAGAGATTATAGGTCTTTGGGAAATATTGGTTCCAGATCTAGAAAGACCATTTACGTGCAACATCTGCCAATAAATTGGAAATGAGCAAATTAGTTTAAGTTGCTATTATTCGAAAATTAGAGAACGAAACCTGATGGTTTTCTTTTATTATTTTTCACAATATCTTTTGGAATTCTTTCGAGTATTTCGCCTATATAAACTGTATGGTTAATTATAGTGTTGTAGGGTATTCAACGGTCGGCCCCGCTCGACTGTAGCCTTTGATTACTTGTTTTTTAAATCAAATTGCTCAGAAATGTTTTCCTTTGTACAATTCCAATCGAATTCCTGAATTCAAATTGTAACTGTACAATGTTTAGTACTTTTTGGACTTTGCTTTGGAATGCTTGAAAGTTAGTTCCAAACCACAGGTTTTTGTTTTAGCGTTTTTAGTTCGAGTTTCGGTATTAATCTATTTTCGAACTTTCAAGATTCTTTCTTTAAAAGTACTGAATTTTAACCCAATATATTAGTTTCAGTACTTTTTAGTTCTAAATATCCGCCCTAATAACCACCTAACCACCGACATCTACCTCTATGCCAAATTTCAAACTTCTTCATTGATTTCCTTTTTTCATTTATTTGATCGATAATACCATTTCTTAAATACAATTTAAATCTAATCATGCCCAGCATCCCTTTCAAGCCTCCACCATTTCAGCCTTGGCTGCTTCGAAACATTGATAGAGTTGGAAACCAGTATCACAACGATCTTCTCCCTTGATGTCACGGCATTTGTCCAAAGCCTTTTTGGTTTTTTCCTCACCAATAATAGAGCCCAATGTCTTGAGGACAACATCTTCTTGGATGACACTATCCTTCAGAGTGCCGACCTTTTCAAAGAAACAGGTGCCGAAACATTTCAAATTGTGTGAAGGATTGGCAAAGTCTTTGTTGCGTAACTTGGTGGCCTCTTCTTCGGTGATATTTTCCTGTTTAATGCATTCCTCGAAGTGGACCTTAGCCTTGGCTTTTTGGTCTTCGTTCAATTCAACGGGCTGTAGAATTAAAGGGAGGGAGGGAGAGAATATGAAGGAGAAATTAATTATTTAACATTTTAATAAAAAACCTTTTTGGGATAGTCTGCCTTAGAGAATTATGAATTTTAGACAAATTTGTATTACGTCTGTTATATATAGAACTTGGTCACTACAATAAGTTTTTTTTTTTAAGAAAATAAAAATTTTATTCACTTACTGTAGCCAAAACAGATGCGATCAAGCACACCACTGCCAAAGTAATAAAAGTCTTCATTATTATGATATTTACGAAATATTAAAATCTGCAAATGTTTGCTACAAGAGTTGGAAATATTCTGTGGTACTTCAATTCGCAAACCGATATTTTATATCCCATCGAAATTTTGTGCAAATTCTAAATTCAGCCCCTAGGCAAATTATGCTCAGCAAAAGATTCATTCTCTTCTTAAAAAGTTTTTGCCAAATTAAGATTTCAAAAAAAAGGAAAAAAATCTGACAGCCGTGGAGGTGTGCCTAAAAATCAATATGAAACACCACGAACTTTCCCACTATCAATAATTGTTATTCGATTCAAAAACAATTGAAATCAATTTACATTTTTTTTGTGGTAAGAACTTCAGATAACTAATGGCTTTTTTGGTGTCGTTATTGTTGTTACCGTTCAGCCGACCAGACGCATGTCAAATTTTAATGGAGTACATACAGGTTAATGATACGACGAGCACTACTTTTCTTCGTGGATTATTGGCTGTGGTGAATGTTTTCAAAAATTTGATGTACCAATTGTATGAGAAGTCTCTTATTTTTTCTTTTATGGATTATAATACTTTAAGGTGTCAACAGCACCTAAAATATTGCGTTTCAATATTTTTAACATTTTTATTATGGATAAACAAAAAAAATCGTAGACTTACAAAAGAATATGACATGTCTTTTGAATGTTTGTCAGTTTATGTTTAACGAATATTTTTGAAAAATACAAGAGTTTTGGCTAGAAACGTAAAGAATCGCATCAAGCAAAACATTATTTTTTTGCCACCAAGTTCTTGAAGAACTATTCTTTAATATTCCAAAATGAGGTTAAAAGTCCAGGAAATCTTTAAAATCTCCACGAGTTTTAGTCAAAAATGTTCAAAATACCATTTCTATAGAGTTCATGATATGACTTTGATAAGGTTTACATTAAAACACGTATATATTAGAGCTATAGCTATAACTTAGCCGATTTCCATTAAATTTATTATATTTGCTTCTAGGTTTAATTCATTTCGGCTGATAATACATATTTGGTGTAGAAAAAAAAAAAAAAAACATGAAATCGGATTGTATATGGAAGCTATATTCAAATCTGATCTGATGTCAAAATTTGTCAGAGGTATTTCTGAGCTCTATTCGATGTCTGGTAGCAAGTACCAATGTTGTGGAGCGAATATTGAGAATGTGATAAATCCATCACGCCAAATCGAATGAAACGGATATGTGGGAGCTATAGCTATATCTGAACCGATGTTCTCCGAATTTGATTTACTTTTTTTCAGACTGAATTCGGTCGTATGTCCCGAAATACATCCTATTTGGACGAATATTGCACATATGGCGAAGAATAAAATTAAAATCGACGAAGATCTATATGGGAGCTATATCTAACTTTTGACGGATTATCACCAATTTCACTACGGTTCATTCTTGACGTGAAGAAATATCAATCAGATAATAAATGTGACCTGTACTTTGTTCACAAAAATGCATGGACAGATTGACGGACATACATAAATCGACTGAGAGTATGATTCTCATTTTCTGCAAATAATACCTGTACCACAGTACGGCGAAGGGTATAAAAATCCAATGTCTGCTAATCTTATCGAAACATAACCTTACAAACTTGAGGCTGGTTCTAAAATAATAAGTGTTTTGAAAGGGAAACAGGGATTAGGAATTAAATTTTCTAGACAAAGAACTAGTAAGGAAAACTCAAAAGTCGGGCGGGCCGACTATATGATACCCTACACCACTATGCATATTTAGTAAAGGTCCCGTAAAAAAAGAAAGCGTTTCAAGTAGATCATACCACCAATCAATATTTGGCTTTAGGGCAGTTATAGTTAGCTATAGAGTGTATGGTATCAATTGGAGAAGGATTATATTAAAAAATATGTATATCGGAGCCGAGTTACACAAAATGGAAACGAAATTCACTCAATTTGGGCTGATATTAGCCATTATTTGCACAATAAACCTGAAATCGGATTAAGGATATATGTAGGAGCTATATCCAAAACTTAGCCGTTCTCGATAAAATTTGGCAAAGGTATTTCCGAGCTTTATAGGATATCTGGTACGAAATATCTGAGGGACTTAAACACGAAATCGGATGAAACATATATATGGGACCTATAGCTATATCTGAACCGATGTTGTCCAAATTTGATGTACTAATTTCTAGACTGAATTCGGTCGGATGTACCAAAATCAGGACTTTTTTTGGCAGATATTGGTAATTTCGTGCACACTTAACCCGAAATCAATTGAAGATATATATGGAACCTATATCCAAATCTGAACCGATCATGATAAAATTTGGCAGAGGTATAGGTGAAAATGTGCACCTTCAGTTGGCCACCAGAACTCAATCGCCGGTCATGGTGATGGTGTGGGCCGCCATAACAGCCGATGGTCGCTCTCCGCTCGTGTTAATCGACCGCGGCATCAGAATAAATGCCGAATATTATCGTGAAAATATTCTTGAGGGTGTATTAAAGCCTTGGGCACGCCACCCTAGAACGGTTACAAAATAAAGTTCCTCGCTTCGTTTTCAGCGCACAATGGCCATCAAAATCTCCTGATGCCAATCCGTTGGACTATTGTGTCTGGAGTATTTTGGAAGCAAGGTTGGCACTAAAAAACACCAAAGTGTCGATCACCTCAAGCAAGCGCTTCGCCGGGATTGGGCAAAAATACCGCAGAGTAACATTCAGGCAGCGTGTGACATTTTCATTGAAGGCCATGATTCGTGCCAAAGGTAACCAATTAGAATAAATCTAAACTTATTCTAAAATTTGATGCTATTTCCGACATTTTTTGCTTTCTCTCTCTTGATATAGGATTTTATGCACTCTTACTACGTACAAAAGAGGTTATATTAAATCTGTCACCTCGAAATATTCGTCGGTGACTCCAAATTATAAGGCGATTTATAGATGTCCGTCTGTAGGTCTGTCAGTCTATCAGTTGAAGTCAAGATAGAGTGTACATTAGTTAAAATAGAGCTTCGGAATTTGGTGCACAATTGCTTATATTATATGCAGGCTGATTGGTATTGAAAATGGGCTATATTGGTAAACGCTTAGGTATAGCCCCCACATAACGGTACCTCCAGATTTTCTCTATTTTGAAGGTTTCTGCCAATTCAGATAAAATTTTACATTTGGGGTTCTTGGTAGGTCTGTTTCTGCCTGCTGGTCCATATAGCGGTACCTACGGTAGCCCCCATATTTTGTCAAAGTGTTTTAATAAATAGATAACTTGTATTTTTGCATATTTTGTGCGTTATTTTTAAATTTAAATGTATCTTAAAAGTGAAATAATCACGAGTGACTAGAACATCCGTATTTCCGCTTCCATTAATAGTGATAGACATTTTAATGGAGAGCCAAGACATTTTTAGTACATCCCTGCTCGAGTCATGCAATATTGCGGCACCAAAAATTTCTTAAACAAGTTGACATTTTTCAAACCGCAATATTTTTTTAATTAGTTTTCCAGCAACATTTCCGTTATGGTTGAATATTTTTTGATGGATATTAAACTCCATCAGTGAACGAGTGAAGGAGCGAGCGAACGACAGAGTGAGTGAGTGTCTGTTGTCTTTTTAATAAACCTCATCAGCAGCTTATCTGTGTTGTGCCAACATTACCCAGCCCTTCCCTTTAAAGTCGTTCGCATTCCAGCACCCTTGTCAGGCAATTTGATTTCCCAGAACCGCCACCTCCCGCACACCCGCTCCCCAACGACAAATGGAGTTTTATATTTGATTTTGATGTTGTTTTCATTTCATTTCAGTTTGTCGTGGTTGGATTTGAAAAGTTCCTTTTGTTTTCGGTTTCTCTTTCTTTCTATCTCTCTGTGGGTATTCTTGCAATGCATGGCTTTCGCTTCGCATTTTGGCTTTCTACATTTTTGTCGTCTTCTACAAATGTCATTTTGCTGTCAACTCGTGGATAATAAGATTACAACTATGTAGAAATAATAGGATTCGTAAAGTTTGAGTTGTTGTTTTTTTTGCATCTCTTTTTTTTTTTTTGTTATACTTGTTGGATTTCATTCCTTCGTTGGGATGTGTTGTTATTTTTTCGTCTTTTACCATTGCTACTTTCATCTGTTACTTTTCTTAGCATTACTACTGTTGACGCTCCTGTTCTCGTCATAGGGATTGCTTTGCTGTTGTTCTCCTAGTTTCTGAAGCTAAGCTAAAAACTGAAAACAGAAAACTTCAATATAAACTTTAGTTTTAAGAAAGAAAGAAAGAAACAAACAGACCTAAAAAACGACATCCAAAGAAGTTTGTCAAGAAGCAATGAGCAAAGTATTAGTGCTGCAAGAAAATAATGGAAGTTTGTAATTTTCTTTTTTCCAAAAAGGACATTTAAGAAAACAATGCGGGGCATGGATGGGGACACAGTTGCATTAATAGAGTTTTTTTTTTCTGTTGCTTATTTGGCGGATATTAGTGAAACTCAGCGGAGAAAGTCATTTTACACACTAAAATGTACAGTAGAATGTGGATATAGTGAGCAAGATGACATTATATAGAACCTAACCAATCGTCCTGAAGTGAAACATAGGGGTAACAGAAAAGAATTAATTAAAACATGACTATAAATCGTTGGGCGCCCAAAACTCTTTCGAAACTTACAGTAAGTCTATAAAATTTGAATACACATGGTTTGTGTTCCTATATGGAGTTGGATGCAGGTGAATTATAGTCTGTTAGGTAAAATTTCATTTTTTTTGGCCTTACATTGTTCAAATAATTTGTTAATTTTGTTCACAGTTGGGCGCCATTTTGGCCTACAATTTTTCAATACTTGTACAAGTCCTTACTGCTTTGAATACATTAATATAAGCCTAAATAGGTTTTGACAAAAGTTTTCTGACCAACCATTAGACGCCATTTTCATTATAATCACTAATATACACATATGAACACTTCTTTCCAACATTGGGCGCCATTTTATGGCTTCATGCTTTTTATGAAATGTAATACAGGATGAAATGAAAAAAAAACTGCAACCGAATTCAGACTGCTGACATTTCTAAGCCACTCTTTCGACAGCTGTTAAAATTATTCCGGTGACAGCTCATTATATTGTTTACAAGCGTACAAATAAATTTTGGTGAGAATTTTTCAGATAAAAATCATTCGTGATGGAATTCGAGGGCAATAGTGTGATTTCTTTATATTTGGCTGGAAAGCCACATGTGGCAATCGTGAGAGCACTCCAGCATTTAGATGTGAATAAATCTTTTGTGTCTCGTACCATCGCTCATTGCCGTGATACTGCTAGCGTAGCCCGATGTCAAGGAAGTGGACGCAAGAAAACAGCAACATTAGCAGAAATGGTTCGAAAAGTAAAGAAACGACTTGAACAAAACCGGCGTCGCAGTGGCCGAAAAAGGGCTCGTGAGCTGAACATATCGCAATATTCCATTAGGCAAATATTGAAAAATTAGCTCGTGGTAAAGCCATTGAAATTCCAAAAAGTGCAAGAACTTACACAGCAACAAAAAGAAAATAGACTCAAAAGAGCTAAAGAGTTGTTTCGCTTGGCCAAAAGTGGTGAACTGCCGCATTTGGATTTCTCCGATGACAAAACATTCGTTGTCCAGCAGTTTGTAAACAAACGAAATGTTCGTATTTACTTGCCAAAGAGGTCAGCTGAAAATGTGCACCTTCGGTTGGCTACCAGAACTCAAGCGCCGGCCATGGTGATGGTGTGGGCCGCCATAACAGATGATGGACGCTCTCCGCTCGTATTAATCCACCGTGCCATCAGAATAAATGGCGAATACTATCGCGAAAATATTCTGGAGATCTTTGACGTTCCAACAGGACTCAGCAGCGTCGCAGTCAGCACGCGCAACCCAAGAATGGTTACGAAATGGGGTTCCTCGCGCACAATGGCCACCAAAATCTCCGGATGCCAATCCGTTGGAGTATTGTTTCTGAAGTATTTTGAAAAGCAAGGTTGGCACTAAAAAATACCAAAGTGTAGATTACCTCAAGCAAGCGCTCCGCCGGGAATGAACCAAAATACTGTAGAACAATATTTGGGCAGCGTGTGATGGTTTCATTGGCCGTTTGAAGGTCTAATTCGTGCCAAAGCTGACCAATTCAAAAAAAATTAAACTTTTCTAGAATTTGATGCTATTTCCGACCTTTTTTGCTTTCATTCAATGAAATTAAAAAAAAATGTAAAAATTATGCCGTTTGACTTTATTGCAGTCTTCATACCCTACACCACATAGTGGTAAGGGTATTATGTCTTTGTGCATTTGTTTCCATCTCCATAGAATCACTTTCTGAGTTGATTTATGCATGTCAGTCCGTTTGTCCGTCCGTCTGTTTGTCCATGTATTTTTCTGAACAAAATGCAGGTCGCATTTATTATCCGATTGAGATGAAATTTTCCAAACAACATTTAAATTGTTGTTGAAATTGGAGATAATCCGTAAAAAAATTAGATATAGCTCCCATATATATCTTCGTCCGATTTTAGTTTTTATTGTGCATCAAACGTGTAATATCAGCCCGAATAGTATGGAATCTTCCACATACAACCAAATTAGTCCTGAAAATAAGTATGCCAAATTTTATCGAAATCGGTTCAGATATAACTATAGCTCCCATATATATTGTTCATTCGATTTGTTGTATTTTTTACCCACAGCCGTAATATGCAATCCGTAACAACGATATTCAGGGAAATATTTCAAATACAGCTCAGAAATATTTTTGCCAAATTTTATGGAGGTCGTTTCAGATTTGGATATAGCTCCCATATGAAATGGGCAATACAAGTCCGAATTTAAAAGAAACAAATGCTTCGGCATATTTAGTCCTTGAACTTTAAATTATAATTATAATCATAGCGTGTATGATTGAATTCTCCCATAAAAACTTTTAATTGTTATGCGGAGCTCTACTAAATTAGCAAAGTGGTGTAGGGTATCATAAAGTGGGCCCCGTCCGACTTTAGGACTTTCTTTACATGTTTTTCTTAAAATTTATCAGACAAATTATGGGGGGAGTTCTTAAAAATTCCTTTAATTTTTTTTCATGCCTATAATTAAAAAAAAAATAATAATATTGTTTGAAGATTTATCGGACAAACCGTTGGGAATTAAAAAACAATATTTTCGAAAATGTACAATAGTTTTATTTTTTTGGTACCTCCCTGCAGTTTTCAAACAAGTAGACAGAGAGATCCGCTTAGGGCGAAACAACAATCACAAATAAAAGTTCATTGTCATTCATCACATTTTTTATGTAAATAGTTCTGGGTAAATTTTTCGAATCCGTAACCAATCTCCATATGTGCCCAAAGTGCATACCTACCAAAAGTATGGACCGTTGGGCGCCAAACCAATACGTATTTTACTTTGTTTTGACATTGCACAACTTCTCCTAAGTATGCTTACATAAAATTATGTAAGTCGAGTTAGATCCATATTTTCGGCCCATTAAGTTTCCATGTTTTGCATTGGGCGCCAATTCAACTTTTTGTCATTAAAAACAAATTATATATCTTTAGGGATAGCTAGGATAGATAATTAATTTCTTACCATAGAACAGCATGTTTGAACATGCCAGCAAATATGATGGAAGAAAAAAACAATTTCTTTCAAAACGTTTGTTTTAGTCATGTCTGACTGTATTTCGAAAACAAAAATGAATTAAATAAGCTTTCTGACTGTCGCTATGACGAATTGTATAAAATTTTATCATTATTTTTTAGTTTTAATAATCTCATGTAGAATTTTTAAGTAAGATAAGATGCCGTTGGAATTTTACACTGTCTGCGAGGTAATGCGAAAAATTGCACAAAAGGATGTCTGAGATTTTAGTTCGTTCTGGTAAATATATAAATTTTTAATAAGAAGGTAATTGGTTTAAATAGGATAAGGGTGAAATAAGTCAAATGTGCAGTGGAAGAGATGAGCATCTAGTCACAATAATATATTACCCCCATTCGTGGTTTCTTTTTCAGAAAATTGATTTGTAAAATTGAAAAAACAGTTGACTTTTTGTAAATCTTAAATTTAAGATTTTATTTTTTTTTATTCCGTTCTTTTCCAATAATAATCATCTCATTCCTCAATTACATCCTTAGTAAGCAGCCTTGGCAGCATGGAAACATTGGAAGATTTTGTAACCGGTTTCACAACGATCTTCAGCCTTGATACCCTTGCATTTCTCCAAAACTTCCTTGGCCTTCTCTTCACCAACCAAACCGCCCAATTTGGCAATCACAACATCATCTTGGAGTTCATCATTTTTCAAGGTACCGGCACGTTCAAAGAAACATGTGCCCAAACACTTGAAGGCCTTGGAGGGATTTTCAACATCCTTGTTGCGGAATTTCACAACATCTTCTTCGGGGACATTTTCCTGTTTGGCGCACTCCTCGATGTGTTGTCTGGCCTTGACTATTTGTTCCTCGGACAATTCCAGGGGCTATAAGTAAAACAAATTAAAAGAGTAGTGTTGGCAAAATTATCCTTCGATTTTTATTTCTTTCAAAACTTACATTGGCCAAAGCACAGGCAACCAAGCACACAACAGCCAAGGTAATGAAAGCCTTCATAATGATTTCTTGTTTTATAATTTTCTACGAAACTTTTGCTTTGAAAGTCAAAAATTGTTTGATGCTATTGCCCTGATATTCGCGGCCTTTTATAACAAGAACTAGTTGCTTAGAGTGGATTGTGAAACCAACATAATTCTCCCCAGACAGCGATGGTTTGACAGGTGTGTTTGTCTGGCTTTCTAATCATAAGCAGACAACCGAGTAGCAAGCAGAACCCACATCAACGACATCAATTTACATTTACACCTTGAAGTGATCAATAAAATTTGCTAAGCCGTTTGGACTACATCATAAAAGAATAAACATTTCGCCAAACATACTCTCAAAATTGAATAATTAATGTTTTTGAATTGTGACGCATTATGTGTCTGGGGGAAATTTTTAGCTGATCGAAACGTGTCCACTCATAATAAATCTTGTTTTCTACCTTCGAGATGAAAAAATGATGTTTGTGAATTAATTTAAATTTGACCTATAATTGGGTGATAATGAAAAATGTAAATTATAGTGGAAATATTGGTCTCTAATCAGATTTTAAAATTCTAAATGGTAAAATACATAATTGTGATCAAAACAGACAAATGATTGTGAATACTCTTAGCGTATAAAAAAGCAAACGTGTTTTTTTTTAATAATTTGGAAGGATTTTTTATATTTAAAAATAATTACATTACGATAGAAATCTTGGTTTTTTTAAATATTTTATAAATGTTTATCAGAGCAGTAATCAAGGATTTTTTTTAATATCCACTGAAGATCAATGACAGAAGAAATCAGGGATTTTTTTTGAAAATAATATTCCTATTCCTAATAAGTTTTTCCGACCATTTTTTTTAATATTTTCTAAAGATATATCGACATTTTAAAAATATATTTGAAGATTTACATGAATAATAGTCGTGGATTTTTTTAAAAATATTTTATGAAACCTATTGACCAGTAATATTTTTTTTATAAAATAATCAGACAATTAATAGAGGCTTTTTACACCCTACGACAGTATGTGTTTGGGGTATTACAAGTTTGATTGAGCCAAAAATTATGTAACACCTCGAAATATTGGTTTCCCACAGTGGAACCTATATATTGATATTCCTATCTCAATGAAATGAGTCGATCTAGCTATGTATGTCCGTCTGTCTAAGTTATTTTGTAATCATGCTACAGGTCACAGGTCGCCCGATCCGCACGAAATTGAAAATGGAGATGGGGTAAGGGTCAGAATAGTACTCTATTGGTTTTGGAGATGATTCCAAAATATTTAGGGGTTGAAATGGACCAAAAACAGAAAATTTTCCAGCCACATGACATGACATACATTAAAAGGCCACTTCTGACCATTAACGTGATGCTGATAGCCAAGAAGTCGGATTTATAGCAAAATAGATACAATATATATGTAAAAGAAATATATTTCATTTATTCTGCTTATAAGTCAAAAATCGCTGGGACGATTTTCACAAATCCCATCAATACGGAATGATCTATTGCCAGAAAAAATACACGAATAAAAAAATGAATTTATTTTGTTACATTTTTTCAGTTTTTGTCGGACTTTTTACCGCATGCGATTCTTTTCAATTTTGAATTGAATATTTTCTAAATTTTTACACACCGCAACACCACTAAAAGTCTATCTTGTATGCTTTAGGGATATTTTTTTCGACAATAATAATCGTTATTTTTTTGATATTTCGAAAAGTATATCATATTCTATCATGGATTTTTTTAAATTATTCTGTAAAGGTTTATCGTGGACTATCAAGTGTCCGAATTTATATCAAGTAATGAATGAAGTAAATGAAAACTTATATTTCTTAATTTTAAGCCATGAATTGACCGAGTAATTTCAAGTAAACATCTTCGTGTAGGCCCCAATATAATGGTAACTCCGTATATTCGGTTTTTATAAGTTTTGCAGTATTCTTTTTATACCCTACACCACAAGGTGGTCAGGGTATTATGTCTTTGTGCATTTGTTTGTAACAGGCAAAAGGAAACGAGACAGACCCATAGTTCCTTTTGATGATCTGCATAGAATCACATTCTGAGTCGATTTATGCATGTCCGTCCGTACGTCTGTCGATGTATTTTTGTAAACAAAGTACAGGTCGCATTTATTGCCCGATCTAGATGAAATTTTGTACAGATCATTTGTTTGGCCCAAGGACGAACCCTATTGAAATTGGAGATAATCGGTAAAAATTTAGATATAGCTCCCATATATATGTTCGTCCGATTTGCCTTTAATTGTGCACCAAACGTGTAATATCAGCCCGAATAGCATGGAATTTTGCACATACAACTACATACATTAGGCCTAGAAATAAGTATGCCAAATTTGATCGAAATCGGTTCAGATATAGCTATAGCTCCGATATATATTGTTCATCCGATTTGTTATTTTTGTCCTCCGCAGCCGTAATATGCACTCTGTAACAACAATATTTGGGGAAATATATCAAATTACAGCTCAGAAATATATTTGCTAAATTTTATCGAGATCGGTTCAGATTTGGATATAGCTCCCATATATAACTTCGTCCGATTTACCATTTATTGTGCACCAAACTAATAGTTGTCCAAATGGGATGGAATTTGGCACATAGGACCGAATTTAGTCTAGAAGTTAGTATGCCAAATTTGGTGAAGATCGGTTCAGATATAGTTATAGCTCCCATATATATTGTTCATCCGATTTAATGTATTTGTTACCCACAGCCGTAATATGCACTCCGTAACAATGATATTCAGGGAAATATATCAAATACAGCTCAGAAATATCTTTGCCAAATTTTATCGAGATCGGTTCAGATTTGGATATAGTTCCCATATATATTTTTATCCGATTTCAAATTAATTTCGCACCAAATGGGCAATACAAGTCCGAATTTAAAAGATACAAATGCTTCGGCATATTTAGTCCTTTGAACTTTAAATTATAATTATAATCATAGCGTGTATGATTGAATTCTCCCATAAAAAACTTTTATTTTTTAAGTGGAGCTCAACTAAATTAGCAAAGTGGTGTAGGGTATCATAAAATCGGCCCCGCCCGACTTTAGGACTTTCTTTACTGGTTTGTCATAGGTTGTAGTACCCATTATTACCTTCAAATACGAAATTTAGAACAATTCCGTTGAATAACTAATACTGAAAAAGTGAGGTACGGTTGTATGTAAGATATTCGTAGACGTGAACCCTATTTCCCTTTCTAGAGTTATATATGAGTTTTAAACTGGTTACTGGGATTGGGTGGAAATTCCATTTGAAATATTAAAAATTTTTTTTAAACAATTATAACTTTTATTGAAATAATTAGTCCTTCACATTTTTAGTAAGCAGCATTGGCGGCATGGAAACATTGGAAGGTCTTGTAACCGGTCTCACAGCGATCTTCAGCCTTGATGCCTTTGCATTTCTCCAAAATGCTCTTGGCCTTCTCTTCACCAATCAAGCTGCCCAATTTGGCGATGACAACATCGTCTTGGAGTTCATCATTTTTCAAGGTACCAGCGCGTTCAAAGAAACATGTGCCCAAGCACTTGAAGGCCTTAGAGGGGTTTTCAATATCCTTATTGCGGAATTTCACAACATCTTCCTCGGGAACATTTTCCTGTTTGGCACACTCTTCAATGTGGACCTTAGCCTTGGCTTTTTGTTCATCGGTCAATTCCAGGGACTGTAAATGTATGAAAAATATATTGACATTAAAATGAGGTCCTTAACTCCCATAAATGCATTTAAAAACTTACAGTAGCCAAAGCAGCCAAGCAAACAATAACAGCCAAAGTAGCGAAGGCCTTCATGATGTGATTACGTAGGAGTTTCTGTTCTTTTGAAACGTTTGCTTTGCAAGTTGCGAATTGTTTGATGCTATCTGTCTGAAATTCGCCGCCTTTTATATCTAGAAGTCTTGCGAGAACACTATTGCGAAATCTTAGATTCATTTTTTTTTTGCACAGTAATAGTTATGGCAGCATGCTCTCTCTCTCTCAAATGCACGTTGGAGTGATTTGTTTGTCTGTAGGAATAGTTTATCAGACAACAGATCAGATTAACAAATTCAAGCTACAATAATTTGTTAACCGGTTTGTTTTTTGTGCACATTGTAAACAATAATTGAATACTACCAAATTGAATATTTAATTGTTTTTATTACTTTGTGATCTATTATTATTGTTCTGTGAACAATCATGTATAGAATTTCAACAGAGACAAAAGTGATTTTATGCATGTCATTTCTGTTTGGGGAAAATTTTAAGATTGGGTTGGGTTTCTTTGGCTATTTGTTCGTGGGTCACCTGTCCGGGTTATTTGGGGTCCAACCACTAGTAGGTCTTTCAAAGACTACTACAGCGGTGGTACAAGTGCCCTAAATCTTCGAATTTAGCCAGGCATGTGAAGTCGTTCTTCACGCTGTGGTTATGGATAATGCCTTAGCTTGAATCATAGATTAATGGGAATCTGAGGAATCAGATATTATAAAATTATGGGATTTTTAGTAAGCTACGCTCCTATTTGGGGCTCTTAAGAACCCCATTTTCCACATTTAAACCCTAGGTGTCCAATGCTTTTGGAATTGTACTGTTTTTTCATAATACCCGACTTTGTCACGGTGAGGAATATTAGTTATGGTAGTTGATGACTTTGCTCTCTGCAATTTAAGAGCTGGAACTTAGTAGTTTTTCCTTTAAATCGCAATTACAATTATTACAAAATTAAAGCTCATATCTGAAATTTGAAGCGTATTTTCGTCTAACGAATTCATAATTTGCTGGTCAATTCAGTATTATATATTATTGTAGCTTTAGGATACAAAATTATTTTCAAACGCATAAAGCTGTTGTAGCAGAAGATATCTTTAAATTCATTATTCGGACTAAATACCTGACTAAAACGGTGAGAAGTACCAAACGGGAAGAAATAGAGGCAGGATTTTGAAATTTTGTCTTAAGAGTCACTTCAAGCAAATGTATTATTACAAGTTTGATTGGGCCAAATATTATGTAAAACCTCGAAATATTGGTTTCCAACATAGGAAAGTATATATGGATCTTCCTATCGCGCCGAGCTGAGTCGATCAAGCTTTTTATGTCCGTCAGTCTATCCATGTTAATTTTTTAATAAAGCTACAGGTCGTAATTATGGCCTAATCCTCAAGAAATTGAAGAAGAGTTGGGATTAGGGTCAGAATAGAACCCTATTGTTTTTGGAGATGATCGCAAAATATTTAGGGGTTGAAATGGACCAAAAACGGAATTTTGCATGGAGTTAGAGTTTAGGGCTGAACCGAAGCCTACCAATTGGGATGGTCATCGAACCATACAGGGTGAGGTGAAAACACTGCAACCAATTTCGGATTGATATCATTTCTTAGCCACTCGTCCGACAGCTGTTAAAATTATTCCAATGACAGCTCATTATATTTTTTACAAGCGTACAAAAGCATTTTGCTGAGAATTTTCCAGAAAAAAATATTTGTGACGGAATTCGAGCGTGATAGTGTGATTTCTTTATATTTGGCTGGAAAACCGCAAGTGGCTATAGAGCCACATAGAGTTAGAGCACTCCAGCATTTAAATGTGAACAAATGTTTTGTGTCTCGTACCATCGCTCGTTACCGTGATACTGGTAGCGGAGCCCGACGTCAAGGAAGTGGACGGAAGAAATCAGCAACATCAGCAGAAATGGTTCGAAAACTAAAGAAGCTACTTGATCGAAACCCGCGTCTCAGCGGCCGAAAAATGGCTCGTGAGCTGAACATATCGCAATATTCCGTTCGGCAAACATTGAAAAATGAGCTTGGGGTAAAGCCATTGAAATTCCAAAAAGTGCAAGAATTTACACCGCATCAGAAAGAAATTGGACTCAAAAGAGCTAAAGAGTTGCTTCGCTTGGCCAAAATTGGTGAACTGTTGAATTTAGTTTTTTCCGATGAGAAGACATTCGCTGTTCGGCAGTTTGTAAACAAACAAAATGATCGTGTTTACTTGCCAAAGAGGTCAGTTGAGAATTTGCACCTTCGGTTGTCCAACAGAACTCAAGCGCCGGCCATGGTGATGGTGTGGGCCGCCGTCGCTCTCCGCTCGTTTTAATCGACCGTGGTATCAAATATTCTAGAGGGTGTATTAAAGCCTAGGGCTCGCAAAAATTTTGGCCGCAAACCTTGGACATTCCAACAGTACTCAGCACCATCGCACTCAGCACGCGCCACCCACGAATGGTTACAAAATGACGTTACTCGCTTCATTTCCAGCGCGCAATGGCCACCAAAATCTCGGATACCAATCCGTTGGACTATTGTGTCTGGAGTATTTTGGAAACCAAGGTTGGCACTAAAAAATACCAATGGCTAAAGCAGGGAATGGGCTAAAGCAGAGCAATATTCGGGCAGTGTGTGAATATTGTTTGAAGGCCATAATTCGTGCCAAAGGTGACCAATTCGAAAAAATCTAAGCTTATTCTAAAATTTAATTGTATTTCCGACATTCATTCAATAACTTTTATGCAGTTTTTTATGTCATCATGTATATATGGAAGCTGTAGCTATCTCTGAAAAGATACTCACCAAATTTTACATAATTGCTTCTAGGCCATTCCATTCTGTTTGGACCTATACTACACATATGAGGCAAAATATGTTTGAAATTAGGCGAAGATTTTTATGGGAGAATATTTAAAATTTATATATTACGATTATCAACAATTTCAATAAATAACAAGTAAAAAGCACCTAAGCTCAGACCGGACCGAACTTTTAATACCCTACACCATTTGGAAGGAACTTGGAAAATTTTAAAATAAATTCATAAAAAATACGGTTTAAATGCAAACCGTTATTTGGGGGCTATAAGAAGATGTGGACCTCAATAAGTATTTTTTCATAGAGTGGCACCGATTTCTAATTTCAAAAATTGAAACAATTCCGGTGAATAATGTCGCTAATATTATCATGAGGATATGAACCTACATAGAAAATTTTCCGTCATGGATTGTAGTAACCATTACGAGCTTCCAATAGGAAATTTGAAACAATTTTGGTGAATAATGTGTCTAAAATCATCAAAATACCGAATATCAGGAGGTGTATGGTTGCTATACGAAGACATGGTCCTGCACAAACAATTTTTTGTCTTAGATTATTGTATCGATTACGAACTTCAAATGCGAAATTTAAAACAATACCGGTAAATAATGATGATATAATCATCAAAATACCAAATATGAGGGAGTAGTGTTGCATGGGGGCTATACGATATCGTGGACCTATATAAACAATTCTCTTCCAGGGGATAAAGTAAACAAAAAGAAATCCTCATGTGGGTTTTCAGATAATTCCACCGAAAAATTTGGTTAAAATCATCAAAATACCAAATATCAGGAGGTACCGATATAGGGGGGCTATCCCATATCGTGGACCAATATAACCCATCTTCGAACCTGACCTGCCTTCAGACAAAAGTCCAATCTGTGCAATATTTTAGCATCATATCTAAAAACTCTAGCGTGATTACAACAGACCGACAGGGCTAAAATGTCTATAAATTTTACTCAAGAATATAAATACGTTGTTAGGTCTAAAATTATTACTTGATAGGGCCTCCACAATACATAGTATTATGAAGAAAAAAACTGTCAATCCGCTAGGTCCAATTTAAGCATACTTCTTCTAACATTTCGGTCGGTATCTTACTAATAAATACTTGCATATTTCCTTCCAACACCTCAATTGCAGCATAACCGTCTGTACTGTGCGGAATCTACTGTGTAGATCTTACTAGTCAGAAAACGTAGTCTATTTAAAGCAGTGTTGCCAAAATATATATGTATATAAAAATCACACTTTCTGCGTTAGAGTTTTTGAGAGGTTTGCTATTAGACCTAGAATTCTGATATTTGTTTCGTAGGCTTGTCTGATGAAGTCCAATGGATCTGCGAATTTCTGTTTAAAGAATCGTAAATATCCGAAACCAAAAAGGTAAAGGCATGTGATTCACTTCTACTATGGAAGTGTTAAAATCAGCTGGTCATGTTCCCCGACTCTACTATTAGATGGCGAATATAATGTATGATTCATTCAGGCTTCAACATTTCCAAATATTCTTCTGAGGCCTCTCAAAATTGTATGCCTTCTTGATTAGCATAAAAATCTAGGTCATTATTCATTTGACTATTAAAATCAATATACATGCCTCATTATTATCCCGATTACAGTATTTTTAAAGCTTCGAAGCACTTTACAGCCAAAGGAGATATAATTTGACGTTTCCGGTTCTTAAAGATATAAACGATCTCTATTGAAACTTTTCGATATAGTACTGGCACTACCTGGCAGTGGTGTCTATTGACTTTCGGCATTTTAAAGGTTTCATAAAAAAACTCCGAATTGGTTGTTACACCTTTTGGGTTCTCGGTCGGCATTCAAGCTCCAATATAAAGTTCGGTCAATTTTAAGTTTTCCGAAGGTCCTATCACCATTTGTAGCTGTTAATTTGAAATCTTACTAGTCAGAAACCATCGTCGCATCGTGACTATACTTGTAGAAAATGATCATATAAACCAAAAAAGGTGCAGACACATTAGAGTACCCTTCAATTGACATGTATAATTTTTTGAGCATGGCAACAAATAATCAGTTAAAGCCTGCGGTGGCATCTGCCAAACCTTCAATTTTTGTCGTTGCTGATTAATTATTTCTAAAGGGAATTGGATTTTGGAATAAAGTCTAAAATATTATTGTAAAAATGTGTTGAAAATCGGACGAACACATATAACCCGTATTTTTGTTTTTGTTTCCAAGAAAACTATTTTTTTACCCAAATTATGGAGGTTTTATTCGAGATACAACAGTTAACAGCAAAGCTAACAATTTTTATATTCCCCACTTTCCCAACAACACGGAACTCCAACAAAATAATAGGCAATAATTTACCCCAGTCGAAGTACAATATTCAAATTAGTGATAAAAATCCCCTAAATCAGAATTACTAAACTAACTGCATTTATATATGTACATATCTTTAATTTCTCTAATTATAATTTTTGCATATATTTTAAAAAAATTATTCCCATTCCCCCTTCTAACTAACATCTGGTGCCGCGAAGCCTACGAACCAAATTTTGTATTTTTTTTTACCAATTTAATAGTTGTTGAATGTTCGTCTCGAACTTACCGCCAATACATATGTGTGTATGTGTGTTTTTGTCTAAGTCTCTTAAAATTTTTTATTGTTTGTTATGGTTTGGGCCTGTACTTTGCCCCCGGTAAATTAATTTTGCCGGTAACCGGTTTTCTTTTATTTGTTTTCAGTCATAAATCTCAGCGACACGCGAACTCGAAACAAGAACAAATAAAACCACAAACAAACAAAACAAAAAACACCTCAGCCATCATTTGCTGCAGGCCACAAGCTCGTACATAATGCCGATGACTGTAACAAATTTCAAACGTGATCTCAAACTAAATGCTTTATGTCTAACAGCGAGACAGACCGACTGTAATCACATCGTGAATGTAGATCCCAAAGTCATTGAGATTTGATCAGCGAAATTAGTGGAAAATTTATAATTGCTGCACAGATGAACAGTAGAATGATAGCTTGAGGAGGTTGCACTATTTGAAATATGATATGAATACGTCAATAAATTGAGTGAGTGTGCATGTGTATGTGTGTGTGCCTGTAGTGAAAGAAAGTTGTGGTTTGCTGGGTGTTGAAATTGTAATCAAATGATGGATAATGTAACATGGCCTAGAGTTCACACACATGTCAGTTTCTATTACAAGCTCTCATTTAGCGGAGATCTATGTGCGGTAAACAAAAAACCGGTTATCGGCAAAATTTACATTTAACCTGGGGGCATAGTACAAACAAATCATTATAATAAATAATAAACATTAGAAATAGAGACAGAGGTTTCAGATGGTTTTTAATCAGACGGATGGTGTAGGAGAAATCAAGACTTTGTTGTAGGTTGGGTTTAAAAAAATATGTACATGACTGAAGTCAACATTTTCAAGTAATGGATATAATATATTTCTGAACAGGATTATCCGGAATTATTTTAATTTTGCAAGGCAAAATAATATACTTAAATTTGAAATCAGAGACAATTGAGTCAATAAGCATTTAGCATTAATACATTTTAGTAAATTTTTATAAGAGTTTTAGAACGGTGTTTACCCTTCTTTGCGGTATGACGCTTTAAATCATCTATATCTATACAAGAGGAAAATGTCTGTACGCTTCTTGTTGTTTTTTTAATTTATTTTTAATAACCGCTAAACAGATTTCCTTGAAATATACTACAACATCACCTAAAAGTAACTTAGGCTATATATATTTTTTTAAAGTGCTACTTGGAACTGAAGATAAAGTATCAGAATTGCAGCTACCTCCAAACAATTAGATTTTCTATGAACATATCTCTTAATTTCTTATATATACAGAGTGAGATAAAAAATAATTGCAACAAAGTCAAATGCCATCATTTTTACATGTTTTTTAAATTATATTGAATGAAAGCAAAAACTATCGGAAATAGCATATAATTTTAGAATAAGTTTAGATTTGTAGGAATTGGTCACCTTTAGCACGAATTATGGGCTTCAAACGACAAATGAAACCGTCACATGCTGCCCGAATGTTGCTCTGCGGTATTTTGGCCCATTCCCGGCGAAGCGCTTTCTTTAGGTGATCGACACTTTGGTATTTTTTGCCTTGCTTTCCAAAATACTCAAGACACAATAGTCCAAGAGTTTGGTATCCGGAGATTTTGGTGGATATTGAAGCGGGGAACCTCATTTTGCAACTGTTCTTGGGTGGCGCATGCTGAGTGCGATGGTGCTAAGTCTTGTTGGAATGTCCAAGGTCAAGGCTTTAATACACCCTCCAGAATTTTTTCGCGATAATATTCGGCATTTATTCTGATGCCACTGTCAATCAATACGAGCGGAGAGCCACCATCGGCGGTTATGGCGGCCCACACCATAACCATGGCCTCCGCTTCCGCCTCCGAAGGTGCACATTTTCAGCTGACCTCTTTGGCAAGTAAACACGATCATTTTGATTGTTTACAAACTGCCAGATAAGCTCACGAGCCAGTTTTCGGTCACTGCGTAGCGGTTTTCGATTAAGTCGCTTCTTTAGTTTTCGAACCATTTCTGCTGATTTTGCTGGTTTCTTCCGTCCACTTCCTTGACGTTGGGCTACGCCACAAGTATCACGGCAACAAGCGATGGTACGAGACGCAAAAGATTTATTCACATTTAAATGCTGGAATGCTCTAACGATAGCCACTTGTGGTTTTCCTGCCAACTATAAAGAAATCACACTATCACGCTTGAATTCCATCACAAATAACTTTTTTCTGGAAAATTCTCACCCAAAAAGCTTTTGTACGCTTGTAAACAATATAATGAGCAGTCACTGGAATAATTTTAACAGCTGTCGGACGAGTGGTTTAGAAATGACAGCAGTCTGAAGTTGCAGTTTTTTCATCTTACCCTGTACATACACATAAGAGATTAAAGAAATAATTGAAGGACTGGGAATCAACGCCCAGATTAAACGCTGAAGCTAAAATCTTGAAATTCTGCAAGAGGGTCAGTATAGGACTAACGGAATGAGAGATAATTTGGAACAGTTTGGATTTGGGTAAACATATGAAGTTGGAATTTTGCCATAACAATATTTGCCTCCCTGTTGGTGGAAGGTTCGTGATAAAGATGAGAAAATTTGTACTGCAGCTGCACGAAAAGTACTAAATAGTATGGGTATAATAGTATGGGTATAATTTGGCATTGTCTGAATAGTCTGATAGTGTATGAAATCTGAAATTTTGGATTGAGTCGCTGTTTATGTGTTGCCTGAACATATGGCGGTGGTTTTGGAAATGTGTACTATTTTGGTACAAAAAGTACTGAATAGTGCTATATTTTGTATTGGATGAAGGGATAGAGATAAAATTCTGATGTTCGAAATTTAGATTACTGATGGTATCTGTGTTTTTGGGATTTGGTGGAGGTTTGGGAATGCGTCCTATAGTTACTGTACGAGAAGTACTAAAGGGTACTAAATTTGGTATTGTATGAAGGACTGAAATCCACAAATTTGATATTGAGGTATCTCTTGGTAACTGGAATTCAGGTATGGTTTTGAAAATGTGTACTATAATTATTCGAAAAGAACTAAGTGGTACTTAATTGGTTACTGGTTGAGAGCCGAAACTGCAAGACTTTTGGTGTCTACGATTGAGATATGGAATTTGCAAATTAATACGAAAAAGTATTCCTCATGTATATTTTAAACCGTAGTATCCCCTTGTTGTACCCCAATATTGAGAAAAAGAATGATAGAATATCTAACACCTTCTCTGGCTCTTTCTTCCGAAAAATAAAAGAATACATATTTGTTTTTTTTTTATAAAATTTATTATTGCAATAAATTAATAGACATTCTTAGTAAGCAGCATTGGCAGCATGGAAACATTGGAAGATTTTGTAACCGGTTTCGCAACGATCTTCGGCCTTGATGCCCTTGCATTTCTCCAAAACTGCCTTGGCCTTCTCCTCACCAACCAAACCGCCCAATTTGGCAATGACAACATCGTCTTGGAGTTCATCATTTTTCAAGGTACCGGCACGTTCAATGAAACATGTACCCAAACACTTGAAGGCCTTGGAGGGATTTTCAACATCCTTGTTGCGGAATTTCAAAACATCTTCTTCGGGGACATTTTCCTGTTTGGCACACTCTTCGATGTGTTCTCTGGCCTTGACTTTTTGTTCCTCGGACAATTCGAGGGGCTATAAAGAAAAGACAATTAGGGTGTAAAAAAGTGATCCTTAGAAAACTATCTATAAAATACTTACAGAGGCCAAAGCAGAGGCAACCAAGCAAACAACAGCTAATGTAATGAAAGCCTTCAAAATGGTTTTCTAAGAGTTTGTTTTTGAAACGTTTGTTAGAGAGGTTGGGAAGTTGTCTGATGCTGTTTGCCCAAAAGCTATGGCTTTTTATAACTGGAATTTTTTGGTGAAACCAATTATTTGAGACCATTCATTTCATTTTCTCTCTGTGTCAATAATGGACGTGATGCCGGCAGATATCACGACCCCTAAACGTGTTTGTCTGTAGGTGGGATTTATCAAATCCCCAGACAACATAAAGCACATCAACAACTTCGTTCTACTTTAACACCTTCTCTCACCAATTTAACTAAATAACCGGTTTCTTGCCTCAAAACATAGACAATAGTTAATGAAATTTGATGTCAATCTGAATACTTAATTGCCATCCAATTTTGATGCATTACCTTTTTATGGAAATGTCTGACTGTCTGGCGCTTAAACGGTAGCAAATGTGCCGATTCATTGTTGTTGTTTAGCGTTTGGGGAATTATGTATGCGCAGGTATATATTAACATTTGTTTAAATTAGTGGCACCATAATGGGCATGTGTGATGAGTTCGAGTTCGAATGTACTTTGCCCTTTGAACTGGCTTCGTTAACGGTAGTTAAAAATCGACGATATTGGTGGGAGCGTTGTGCCATCTTAGGGGGTGATAAAAATCTTGGCCGAGTGCTAGAAGAGTCTTTTTATACCCTCAGTCATATGGCTAGAGAGGCTATATATCATTCGATATGGTCAAAACGTGTCTAGTCGACCCTTGGTCTCTTTGGACCAAATCCGTTTCAGGACATTTGGAGCCCATCTAGCGAAGGGAGTATCCGATTTGGTCCAAACTTGGTATATCGTAATATTATTATCAAACTTAGATCGAGTTCGGAGATGGGTAATATCGGTCCACTCCTTCTGGTACCTCCCCCATAAAATGTCAAAATTTAAAAAAAAAATATTTTCTGCACAGAAAGAGAAGCATTAATCCGATTTGCTCCAACTTAGCAAATCCATATATATGCATCAGTCCTATGTCAGGTGCAAAAAATGGATAATATAGGTACACTCCATCATGTGCCTCTCCCACAAGGGGTCAATGTTTTGAATAATTATAACTTTTATAATATGATGAGTATTCAAAACGATTATAAAATCCGAAATAAGCATCAGGTTCTCTTTATATGGGGTGAGATAAAAAACTGCAACTGAATGAAAGCAAAATATCGGATATATGGCCTTCAAACGGCCAACGGCGGTATTTTGGCCCATTCCCGGCGAAGCACTTGCTTGAGGTGATTGACACTTGGGTATTTTTCAGTACCAACATTGCTTTCCTAAATACTCCAGATACAATAGTCGAACGTATTGGTATCTGGAGATTTTTGAAGCGAGGAACCTCATTTTGTAACCATTCTTGGGTGGTGCGTGCTGAGTGCGATGGTGCTGAGTCCTATTGGAATGTCCAAGGTCTGCGCCCAAAATGTTTTGCGGGCTTTAACGCATCCACCAGAATATTTTCGCGATAATATTCGGCATTTATTCTGATGCCACGGTCGATTAATTTGAGCGGAGAGCGACAACCATCACCATGTCCGGCGCTTGAGTTCTGGTGGCCAACCGAAAGTGCACATTTTCAGCTGACCTCTTTGGCAAGTGAACACGATAATTTTGTTTGTTTATAAAATGCTGGACAACGAATGTTTTCGCATCAGAGAAAACCAAATTCGGCAGTTCACCACTTCCGGCCAAGCTAAGCAACTCTTTAGCTCTTTTGAGTATATTTTTTTCTGTTGCGGTGTAAGTTCTTGCACTTTTTGGAGTTTCAATGACTTTACCCCGAGCTCATTTTGCAATATTCAATATGTTCAGATTACGAGCCATTTTTTCGGCCACTGCGATGCGGGCTTTGGTCAAGTCGCTTCTTTACTTTTCGAACTATTTCTGCTGATGTTGCTGCTTTCTTCCGTCCACTTCCTTGACGTCGGTCTACGTTACCAATATCACGGTAAGGAGCGATGGTACGAGACACAAAAGATTTATTCGCATTTAAATTGTGGAGTGCTCTAACTTGCCACTTGTGATTTTCCAGCCAAATATAAAGAAATCACACTATCACGCTTGAATTCCATCATGAATAATTTTTTTTCTGGAAAATTCTCACCAAAATGCTTTTTACGCTTGTAAAAAATAAACTTAGCTGTCACTGGAATAATTTAACATCTGTCGGACAAGTAGCTTAGAAATGATAACAGTCTGAAATTGTTTGCAGTTTTTTCATCTCATCCTGTATCCTGTGGACAATAACCGTAGAATCGGATAAAGATGTATATCTGATAAAATGTGACAGAGGTATTTCTGAGCTGTATCTGATATCCGATATCAAATATGATTGTTGTGACGTGCATATAATGCGTTAGAGGGACTTTATCACGAAATCGGATAAAAAACAAAACTAAATAAAAAAAATATAAAGTAGAATTCCTTAAAATCTTAAAAATACTGAGCTACCGATATTTAGGGTTTTTACGAAGACCTGGACCTGCATAGACAATTTTTTGTTACAGTATGCAGAACCCATTAGGAACTTCAAATTCGAAATTGGAGGAAATAATGTATATAAAATCATCAAAATACCGAATGTTAAGAGATACCGTAGTCCTATTAAGTACGTTTAGAGGTCTTACAAACGGAATAATTTAATAATAACTATGGTGGAGGGTATAAAAGAGTAAAGTTCAAGATAATATGTCTTGGGAATAAGGTAAGGTTTATTAATCGCAAATTCTCACAAAACAAACAGCCGCCAAGGTATGCCTTCCAATGTATGGAGCGGACGGGAAAAACTGCAACTCTAAAATTTGGAATAATTTTTAAATTAAAAAAAAAATGTCACGTGTTTTATTCCAGCAAATATTTGCTAAATTTTGAAAAATAGTAAGGTCCTACAAGATCATTGTGGGATACATACTTCAAAAATTATTTTTTAGTCTTCGATGAACTAAACCAAAAAGTGATATTCTTAAAATTCTAGAACAAAGCTCAAGCAATATCGTAGCAAAAGATTTATAATGAGACTACCCTTTTTTACCATCATCACTTTAATTTCGGACAGTAATTACCATAAAATGGTAATGCGCCACAAAACGAAGGCAATTAACTATTCAATTTGACAACTTATTTCTTCAATTTTTATTGATGTTGTAGGCCAAACCGGTTGCCAAAATTTTATTGACCCTTATACAACATAAGTGTTTACTGAAGTTGTTGATATGTGTATTTTTTGTAGTTTCTGTTGGCGATCGATATACACACACATAGTTGTGTGAACTGTGTGTGTTCTCAACTCTCACACTAAAGAAATTAAACAATAATCATATTCAGCAAACTTCTAGTTATAAAAAGCCCCAAGTAAAGGAGAATCAGCATCACACATTTTTACACCTTCGAAGCAAGCGTTTCAAAAGAAAACCAACTCCCTCAAAGTAATCATCATGAAGGCTTTCATTACCTTGGCTGTTGTTTGCTTGGTTGCCAGTGCTTTGGCCAATGTAAGTTTTAAGATTTTTATTTTTTTTTTTTTAAACGGACTCTGTTAATTTTCAAATTCCTTTCTTCTTTGTAGCCCCTCGAATTGTCCGAGGAGCAAAAAGTCAAGGCCAGAGAACACATCGAGGAGTGTGCCAAACAGGAAAATGTCCCCGAAGAAGATGTTGTGAAATTCCGCAACAAGGATGTTGAAAATCCCTCCAAGGCCTTCAAGTGTTTGGGCACATGTTTCTTTGAACGTGCCGGTACCTTGAAAAATGATGAACTCCAAGACGATGTTGTGATTGCCAAATTGGGCGGTTTGGTTGGTGAGGAGAAGGCCAAGGCTGTTTTGGAGAAATGCAAGGGCATCAAGGCTGAAGATCGTTGCGAAACCGGTTACAAAATCTTCCAATGTTTCCATGCTGCCAAGGCTGCTTATTAAGTGATTTTTTGTGATAATTTGAAAATAGTTAATAAAATGTAAACAAAAAAATATATAAATGTAAGAAGTTTAGCTGAGTTGTTAGTGAAAAGGATCTCTTGCTGTTGGAGATTTAGAATCTATAGAAGCAAGCAATGATCAATATGTATAGGTCTACGTTTGGTACAGCAATATCTTCGACCTGTGACAAAAATCAAAAGGAACTCCTTTTGTTTTAAAACAATTCCATTGAAAAATTTGGCTACAATCACGAAAATACCGAATATTTGGAGAAACCGCAATAGTTGGGATATACGATATCGTGGACCTATATAGACAATTTTCTTCCAGGGGGTAAAGTATTCGGAAGGGACTCCTTATGTGGATTTCATTCAAAATACCGAATATTGGGGGTACAGTTATATGGGGGCTATAGAATATCGTAGATCTATATAAGCAATTCTCTTCCAGGGGGTAAACCGAGAACTCCCTGTGTGGACTTTGAGCCAACTCCATTGAAAAATGTGGCTAAAATCATCAAAATACCTAATATCGGGAGGTACCATTATATGGGGGATATCGAGGCCCTTTATAGACAATTCTCTTACAGGCGGTAAAGTACCCAAAAAGAACTCCTTGCGTAGAATTTTGGAAAATTCCATAGAAAAATGTGGCTAAAAACATCGAAATACCGAATATCGGGGGGTACCGTTATATGCGGCCATACGATATCGTGGACCGATATAGCCAATCTTTGAACTTCACCTGCCTGCGAACAAAGGACTGATCTGTGCAAAAATTTAGCATCCTACTTTAATTCGTTTTGACTCTAGCGTGATTACAGCAGACGAACGGACAGGGCTGAATCGCCTTAGAATTTTACACTTATCAAGACTATATATAACTTTTTAGAACTAAAATTATTTTGCGGAGTTACAAACGGAATTTCTACCTTTTTATACCCTCCATACCCTACGTGGTGTAGAAGCATATAGTGGTCATTATACCCTACACCACATTAGGGTCAGGGTATTACGTCTTTGTGCATTTTTCTGTTACGCGAGATAGACCCAGAGTTCCCTTTGATGATCTGCATAGAATCACATCTTGAGTCGATTTATGCGTGTCAGTCCGTCCATGTATTTTTGTAAACCAAGTACAGGTCGCATTTATTGCCCGATCGATATGAAATTTTCCACAAATTATTTGTTTGGCCTAAGGAAGAACCCCTTGGAAATTGGAGATAATCGGTCAAAATTTAGATGTAGCTCTCAAATGTATCTTCGTCCACAGCCGAAAAATACCTTTGCCAAACTTTATCGAGATCTGTTTAACATGGCTCTCATATATATCTTTATCCGATTTTAAGATTATTGTGCACCAAATGGCTAATATCACTCCGAAATATATGTTTCAATTTAAACATTCTCAAAGTCAAGAGATACAAATGTCTCCGTCAAATTTAGTGAAAATCCCATATGTTAGTTCGTTTTGTTTCCAAATTATAACTGATCTAAAGACAAATTACGCATCCAATAACAATCATTGTTCGTATGACCTACTTCACATAAATTCCCGATAAAATAACAAATAGTGCGTCTCAGTCAGCACTATCTTCTGATGCTATAAGGCTAAGGGTATAAAAATTATCGTAACAGACGCGTATATTTGTGGGAAGCTGATTTGCAATCTTCATTCAATTAA